AAAAAAAAAAAGCATAATGCTGCAGTACACAGTAAAGGAGACCAGAGGCCATTTTTTTGAATGGATGTCCATGCCTCACTATGCTGAATAAACTGCTTTTGTGGCAAAACAGCTTATCATTTAATGAATTAACATCTTATCGGCTAATCTTCAATCTGTTTGCCATTAAACATTTGTTTTGGATTTTTAGAGTTTATGCCACAAATGCCCTTTTATAAGAGAAATCACAGACCGTTTTGTGACCGGCAGGATTCAATTTGCGGTACTTCTCATTCATTTCAATGGTATCCACAAACAGTGATTGGCTGTCGCACAACTCTGACAGCTATTCAGTGACGTCAAGGCCGTGATTGGTTATCAAGGCACACGTGATACAAGTTGGCTATTACTAGGCTGCACGATTAATCGAATGCGATTGTCATGTGCATCTTGCCAGTAAAGCAGGTTCTGTGATTAGTAGTAAATCTCCAGAACGTGCTTTCAGATCAATATAAACATGGTTGACAAGGGCATATCCTGCTGGAATGTGCAAATACTGTCTTCATATGTTCACTGAAAACATTACCACAAAGAGCCAGTCATTTACAAGTCACTAGATTCAGCGGGTTTTAAAAATCTGATACCACTATTGATTTTTTCCCCCGATATTTTCTAATTTAATACGCGATTATGAAATCGAAGAAATCGTTCTGCGATTATGAAAGCTGTTTGCGTAGCTTCTCAGTGAACTACGGCTCTGTGTAGTAAATGTTGCTACACCTGAAAGAATGTAAAAAATACCACATTTAATAACATGTTTTTACTCCAAACTCATAACGTCAGTCGAGTGTTTGAAATTAATCCTTCTGACTGTGAGATGATGTGGCTTCTTACACAGAATAAGGCACGCAACATATTTCATAGTATTTAAGCAGTGATAAAGGCTATGTCGATTAGCATTGCATTATGATAGACTTTATTATAATTAAAATTATAATAAGACGAACTCAGATATATAGATATATTGTCGTAGTCGTGTGTTTATTAGTCACGTTGAATTAATCAAAGCAGTTAAATCTTCTGTTTATTCAGCAATGGCTATAAGAATTTCCTGGGTTTCTTCTGCGAGGCGTATTTGGAGTTTCAGCGCGAGAGCGCCCCCTGGCCTTCGGATGGAGATTTACTGCTGATCACAGAACCGTGCTTCACTGAAAGATACGCATGACATTTGCAGCCTCTGCCTAATCGCGATTTATCGCCTTTGCGATTTAATTTCGATTAATTGTGCAGCCCTAGCTATTACGCTTTCTCCAGGGGGTACTATGCCACAAGGGGGTATTAGTGATTTTATGTGAAAATATCTTAAGCTTATGTAATCCACAAAACTTATTTTAAACATTTCATCACAAACCCATTGAAAAAACATTGATTTTTTAGATGATGGAAGCAGAAATGCTCAAATACTAACTTGTTTCAAGGTTTTGGCATACAAAAATACATAATTCTTGCAGGTCTCTATTCATTAGTTTACTGTTTTTGTTTAATAGTTCTGGCCATCCTGCTCTGTCGATCTCTATAGATCTTGATAGACATTCACAGTCATCTGATTTTGGGTTCATGTGTGATTCATCTAGTGGGACAGTCTGTGTTGAAGGACCAGAATAAGGTTCGGCGCTTGAAGCAGTCCGGAGAGTCCTTTCTGCAAGACGGCTCCTGCATTAACGTGGCGCCACACCTGCACAAATGCCGCGAGTGTCGTCTGGAGCGCTACAGGAAATCCCGCGAGGATGAGGACGATGATGATGACCCAAACGTGGCCTGCCGATTCTTCCACTTTCGCAGGTGGATATGATTCAGACAACTACTGGTATGGCTAGCTGAACTCTTGGCTAGGGTGTGAGACTGACATCTTGATTTGTCGTAACAGGCTGGCTTTCACTAAGAAGGGAGTCCTTCGCGTGGAAGGCTTTCTGAGCCCGCAGCAGAGTGACAGCATGGCAATGGGGCTGTGGCTCCCCTCCCTCACAGCACAGGAAGGACTTGACCTGGACACGTCCAAATATATTTTAGCAAACGTGGGTGACCAGTTTTGCCAACTGGTCATGTCAGAGAAAGAGGCCATGATGATGATAGAGCCCCATCGTAAGTAACTGTTAGTTCATTAAAGCTGATTAAAGCTTGTTCACACAAAATAATTTATAATCTGAATATAAGAAAGTATAAGAAAGTATCACATAATGCCAAACATTTTTTGTATGCAGAAATCTTTATCTAGTTTTATGGACACTCTTAATTTCTGTAAACTAAAAGTAAAATAACAACTAAAATCATTTTCAGTTAATAAGCTTTAGTATTCCTGAAGTTTTTAAGAGCGAAATGTTCAAGATTCCCTTTTTTTATTTTAAATAAATTAATTTACCTGACTCTTCAAGGATTTTTTTTTTTCACATTTTAAAGTTTTCCATCTCATGAAATATTTTAGAGCTTAACATTACTAGGAAAATGTATAAAATCATAAAACTGCATCATATTAATTTAGATGACTAATTTACATTTTATATAATTTATAATAACAATCAATTAATAACATTTTAATCATTCTCAGGAAAAAATAATGGACACCTGAATGGATGTAGCTTCCATAATCACTGTAATATTAAAGACCTCATTCATGAAATAAGCAGAATAATTTTGAGTGAATTATTTATAGAAATTCTTATGTGAAATACCACATTAAATGTAATGCTTTTTCAATGAATTTCACATTCTACTCATGTTTCATGAATGAAGCTCGATGAAAAGGGTAAAAAAAAAACCTCCATTACATACAGTGTCTTATCAGTAAGGAATTTGGAAAGATTTTAAAATCTCATATTAAACAAATAATAATAATTATTATAATATTTTTTATTTATATAGCACCTTTCAGAACCTCAGTGTTCCTTATTTTAGTGTGATTACTTCAGGGCTAATATAAAGCAAGGTTATTATAGTTAAAACTGTTACTAAAACAAAAGCGTGGAGTAAAAAAGTTTTATTAACTGAAATAAAACATTTGTTTTGCATTTATAAATGTACACTAAAATGAAGAGCTAGTGACTATTTCGATAATAATTGATAAGGACTTGCATAAAATCTGATAATGCCCTGTGATTTTGCAGAAAAAGTGGCATGGAAGCGTGCTGTGAGGGGAGTGAGAGAAATGTGCGACGTGTGTGAGACAACGCTGTTCAACATCCACTGGGTGTGTCGCAAATGCGGCTTCGGCGTTTGTCTCGACTGCTACCGGCTACGCAAGAACAGGCCACCTGAAGGTAGATACGACAAAGGATCTGCCACATTCCTGACTAGAAACGTTGTGAAGCTATTATTATGTTTGATGAAGGTGCACTGTCATGCATGTCCATTACAGCATGTCTCTGACTCTCACTCCTGCTCTTTCTGTAGACGAGAGTCCTGAAGAAGACGTGTTCTCATGGCTGAAGTGTGCTAAAGGCCAGCCACACGAACCACAGAACCTCATGCCCACTCAAATTATACCTGGCACAGGTTAGTGCATTTATTCCTGTTCAAAATATGTGAAATCACAGTAACTGGAGCTCAGTTTTATTGTCTCCTTGTGTCCCTTTAGCCTTATACAGCATAGGTGACATGGTACACGCAGCCAGAGGTAAATGGGGGATCAAAGCGAACTGCCCCTGCACTAGTCGACATAGCAAACCCTTGGTGCGGCCCAGTGCTCCAAACGGCCTTTCACAGGCAAGACATCTCCAAAACATTTGAATTGAAAGTAGAATTACATCTATAATGCTCTTAGATCTGTTTTTGGTCTGTTCTCATCTTGTGTCTCATGTTTGGTGCAGTCGGGTGCGGCTAACAGTGTGGGGAATGGAGCCACTTCCACTTCAGCCACAACCCGTCCAAATGGGGAACCTGCAGCGGGTGCAGTAGTCAAAACAGAGCCTGTTGAAGAGGCGGGCAGTGCTGACACAACGTCAGGCACCAGTGGGACAAACAGCAGCACTTCTATCCCTGCTCCCGTCCTCACACCAGCTGCGAAAGATGGCAAGGGCAGTTCCTCAGCCCTTCACTGGCTGGCTGACCTGGCCACACAAAAGGAGCCCAAAGGTGAGACTCAGTTTAGAGCGGTTAACAGTTAGTGGATGGCACATGTGGAAGTACTTTATAACAGTGGTTCTCAACTGCTTTGAATTTACATTTGACCAAAATGATCATGTACTGTTATATATGTTTATATAGTATATATTATTTTGTACATTTAAGAAGAGATATGTTTATTATTGTATTTATAATTTTGGTTTTTGTTCTTTATAATAAACTTTAATAATAATAAAAACCTTTGTTTGTAGAACAACATTCACACAGAAGAAATGCAGCTCAAAGTAAAAAAAATATTACATTAATTGCAAAGTTCTTCAGTGAAACCGATGGAAAAATACCATAATTAATGTAACGTGAAAACCAATTTTATATTAATAAAAAACAAAAATTCTATACATGGAATGCATAACAAAAGATATGTAATTAATAATAGAAGAAAAACATAAATAATACAAAGAATGCATAAATCAGGTAAAAAAAAAAAAAGACAATGCATTCCAAAGAGATTTAAAGAAAGTAATTTTAGATAAAAGCTTAAATAAAAGATATGCTTTTAGCTTCCTTTAAAAAAATGGTAACACTTTACAATAAGGTTGTATTAGTTAACGTTAGTTAATGCATTAGTTAACATGAACTAACAATGACCAAAAAAAGTGGGTGCGCGCAAGAAAACTTGTCCGGAGTTTTACCTTATCAACCCACACACGTTCAGTGACTGTGAGCTGCATTGCACGCTGGGCTGTAATGTTGGCTATCATTAAAAGTATATGAATGGCGGCAATACCGGCATATTCATGCAGAATAGTGCAAGCAGCACTACACACCCACATGAAAACAGCAGCGCAACCGGTGTTTATCATAGCAAAGGCAACGAATCATATGAATTCCTTGAGCGGAGGACGAGAGCGCCGGAGTTTATGCGGTTAGAAGAAATATGTAGCATTAATTCTGATCATGGCTTGTCTTGAAAAACGGAAGACAGTTTGACGTTCGTCGTAGGAGCTGTCACACTGCATGACTGTGCGCCAAATCTTCTGACACTGCCAGAAATTCGTCAGAGGTCAAATTTGATCGCAACCATGAACCGCGGCCATTAATCGGCTGTCGGTGAACATGTCAAACTAACGATCAAAGACTACAGATTTTAGCCTAGGATTATAGGAATCTTTTAGGATTTTCAAAATTAGTCTCAGACGACCAAATCATGGCCAAAATCGCACAGTGTGAGCCGGGCTTAATTTATACTACATATATACACAAGTTTATGTAGCAGCTAACACACACAAAGGATGAACAATACTAACTTACCATTTGGCCACTGATTTGGGCTATTGGTAAACTTAATTTGAAAGTGGAAACCGTCTGAACATCAACGGAGATGTTATTCATGTTTGTAGACTGTCTAACCACTAACAAAGTATTTACTTAGGGAATTGTAAAACCTTACTGTAAAGTGTACACTAGTCCAACATTAACTAATGTGTTACTAACATTTGTAGACCGTTTATTAGGGCTGGGTTTTGACACAAATTTCACGATCCGATTTGATTCTCATTCACAAGCTTTCGATTCGATTATCGATTCGATTCAATATCGGTTATTTTGGATATATATCAGGTACAGTACATGCCGTTGGATGGGAAGTGCCCTTCAATGTTCTGTCCATTAACTGAAAACAGGCTAGAATAATCGATTCTTGGGATTTAAGAATCGATATCGTTCCGTAAAAATGAGAATCGATTAAAATCGAGATACCGATATTTTTTACCCCGCCCTAGTGTTTATTAACATGACTTACCACTAACAAAGTATTTATGTGCGGCATTTACAAATGTCAACAACTGGTGAATGGAGCTGTTTTTGTTGTGTGTCGTGGGCTTCGTTATAACCGAGATGGAATGTAACCATAACAATTGACGTGATTGAAAGAGCAAAAAGTTGGGCTAAAAGACGAAACCTCCTATGACAACTTGCATTGTTATCATCGAGGCTGAGAAAAGAACACAACACTGCAGACAACTGGTAAATGCTGTTATTGCTATTTTCCATGTTCTTGGAGTAAATACTTTTAAATGACTTTTTAAAAATGCCGAGTAGCCGGTGTTTCGTATGCGTTTGGCCTATCAACGTACACTTAGGTCACTGATAGTTCTGTTTTAGACCCTACTCTAAAGATTGAGCTAATTTAGTTCCTCCAAACAGAGTTCCTAGAACTAAAACCATTCCTAGTTCCTGCAGTGCGAACACGACAAAAAGCGGGCACTTCCGCCAGTAGTTCTAGGAGCTATGAAAAGGTTCTTTCTTTGTGAAAGCCCCTTATAAAACATTTGCTGGTAAATCTTAAATTTGGTAAATGTTTGCAGACACAATGTGCTCAAGCTCTTCCTCTTGTTTTATCTCAGAGTCTCTGCGCTCTGTGATGGGTCGTGACTCTCGTACTCCATTTGGTCTGGACTCCTTCGGCACCCTTTCCAAACACTCAGGGTCTAGTCCCAAGCTCTTCAATAGTCTGCTGCTGGGTGCTGGCCCTTCCCAACCCAAAGCAGAGGGCACTAGTCTCCGAGATCTGCTGAACTCTGGCCCCGGAAAGCTCCCGCAAGGTCCCGCCGAGGGAGGTGTTCCCTTCCCTTCAGTGTTCTCCACTGCTGGTGTACGTAACTTTATCTTTACGTTTTGATGCTTGTTTTGAATTCATATGAAGCTGTTTTTTACTAATGACAGACATTTGTTATGAATAATATAATTAATTTGTTATGAATAATCGGTCCCACTTTATATTAAGTGGCCTTAACTACTATGTACATACATCAAAAAATAAGTACAATGTACTTATTGTGTTCATATTGTATTGCAAAACACTTTTGCTGCTATTGAGGTGGGATACGGGTAAGGTTAGGGGCAGGTTTGGTGGTATGGGTAGGTTTAAGGGTGGGTTAAGGTGTAAGGGATGGGTCAACAGTGTAATTATAAATGTAATTACAGAAATTAATTACAGATGTAATTACATGCAGGTGTTTTAATACAAGTACAATGTAAAAACATGTATGTACACAATAAGCGCATTGTACCAAATGATCAATTGAAATGTAAGTACATAGTAGTTAAGGCCACTTAATATAAAGTGGGACCGAATAATCTTTTGTTTTGTGACCACTGAGGAAAAAAATTCTTAAGGATCACTAGAACTACATTATTAAAAATAGAGATTACTTAATATGTATGTATTATTTAAAGCATTAGCAAAAATAACTATATATCACACTAAATTGTATTATATTAAATATATTTACATATTAACAAAAAATATCTAGTGTTTGTATAGTTTGAGGTCTGTAAGATTTTTTAAATATTTTTGAAAGTCCGTTATGCTCACCGAGGCTGCATATGTTTTTATCAAAAACACATAAAAAAAAAAAAAATAAATCTAATATCTGTTTTCTATGTGAATATATTTTAAAATGTAATTTATTCCTGTGATCGAAAAGCTATATTTTCAGCATCATTACTCCTGTCTTCAGTGTCACATAATCCTTCAGAAATCATTCTAATATGATGCTTTGCTGTTCAAGAAACATTAATTATTATTTTTATTAATGTTGAAAACAGTTGTGCTGCTTCATATTTTTGTGGAGACCGTGATAAAATTTTTCAGGATTCTTCTTATGAATAGAAAGTTGATAAGAAGAACATTTATTTTAAATGGGAAACTTTTGTAACATTATAAATGTCTTTACTATCACTTTTGATCAATTTAATGCACCCTTGCTGAATAAAAGTGTTAATTTCCTAAATTCTTACTGACAACAAAATTTTGAACAGTCATGTAAATGTTGTTGAGACAGACATAAGAAAATAAATGTTCGTAATATTTTTTTAATTTTAATTTTTATAAATATATGTTTTTCTTTCTCTCTTAAGCAGGCAGATAAAATGAAGGGAGGACTTCCTAACTTCTTGGATCATATCATTGCATCAGTGGTGGAGACGAAGATGGCAGAGGGTCGACGTTCGTCAGGGTCAGCAGAAGGCGGCGAGTCAGGGGCTGTTCCTCGCAGAGAGGGCTTGATGGGTCTCAGTGTATTAGACCCCCACACTTCCCACTCCTGGCTGTGCGATGGCCGTTTGCTCTGCCTGCAGGACCCCAGCAACAGCAACAACTGGAAGATCTTCAGAGAGTGCTGGAAACAAGGACAGGTGAGCGGTGAAGATCAAATGGATGCACATTTATTTGATGGGTTACGTTCTGCTGAGGGTAATAGCTTTTTCTTGGTTAGCCTGTGCTGGTCTCGGGCATACACAAGAAGCTGAAGGAAAAGTTATGGAAGCCAGAGTCCTTCAGCCAGGAGTTTGGAGACCAGGATGTGGACCTGGTCAACTGTAGGAACTGCGCCATCATCTCTGATGTTAAAGTCCGAGACTTCTGGGATGGCTTCCAGGTTATTTCCAGTGAGTACAGACACTTTAACGTCTGAGCAAGCCTGGATCTTTTCATTGTTGATTTGATTATTACCATCCTTAAAGGGTTAGTTCACCCAAAAATGAAAACTGGCTTGTGTTTTACTCACCCTGGAAGCATCCTAGGTGTATATGACTTTCTTCTTTCAGACGAATCCAGTCGGAGTTATATTAAAAATTATCCTGGCTATTCCAAGCTCTATCATTGCAGTCAGCGGGTGTTGTAGTTGAACAGTCCACAAGTCGTCAAATAAAGCGCGCGCGTTCATAATAAACGTGCTTCACACGGCTCCGGGGGTGAATAAAGGCCACCTGTAGTGAATCCATGCGTTTTTGTAAGAAAAATATCCATATTTCATATGTGATAAACACTTTTATATCACTTCCGCCAACTGTCATACGCGGAAGCCGTGCCGGCGGATGACGTAGCACGTCGGCATTGCGTGATTAGTGACGAATGCAGAGAGACAACAACACAAAACAAAATGCCGGTCATGAATTAGAAGTACAAACCGAAGATTTGCAAAGAAAAATGTCAGAGGATTTCGATATAAGCCAAGAGGAGACTGGTTTTCCTTTGCTAAAGTAAGGAAACTTTGCTTCCTTTGCTCCTATAAACAAACTCGCGAGACTAGCATATCTCATACGCCTTCCACCAGAACGCCTTCTGTGAGTAAAACACAAGCCAGTTTTCATTTTTGGGTGAACTAACCCTTTAATTGTCACCATATCCAGCTGACCATGAAACCACTTTGACCTGGTGGTCTATTATCTTCTCCTCTGTGCTCTAGAGCGTTTGCAGGGTGGAGATGGCCAACCAATGGTACTAAAACTTAAAGACTGGCCTCCTGGAGAAGATTTCAGAGACATGATGCCCACTCGGTAGGTTTGCTGGCATGTTATTTCGTGCCATAGCTGTTGGTCGACCGATATGAATTTTTTGATTGCTGATGCCGATATCTTGGAGATCATGGTGACCGTTGGGTGGTAAAAAGCCAATATATATAGATAAATATCATATTACACTGTTTAATTTAAAGATAGTAGAAACGCATATATAACAATTGCTGAAATTAAATTTGTATACATATATATTTACATAATATTTATGAAAATGAAAAAATTTTACTTGATAAAAAAAATACATCTGTAAAGAAATTTATTTAGATGTCAACTTCTTTCTGTAATTCTGTTATAGTATTTTTCTCAAATAAAAAAACGCTGCAACCAGATTACAGTCAGTAATATGGTAAGCTTCTGCAAGTTAGCGCTAGTGTTGTCACAATACCAAAATTTTGGTTGACAGAAATTGGGAGTGAGGTGCAGAGCCACTTCCTTCAGCCTGCGGCTTATTCATTTCACTTTTGGTGTGAAAGGGCCCTTACAGTTGACAAAAATATAACTTTTGTGTATTTTGTTATTGAAAAACAAATAAGCAAGCCCAGCCCAGGTGACAAAGTAACGCAAAAGTAACATAATGCATTACTTTTCATAAAAAGTAACTAAGTAACGTAATTTGTTACTTTTTTATGGAGTAGTGCAATTTTGTGATTGCAGTAACTGATTGAAGTAACTTTCCCCAACGCTGATTGCGATACTTTTTTTAGTCCCAGTATATCATGCAACACTAGTTAGAGCTAATATTACATATATCACACAATGAATACGACATAGCAGCAAAGCACAGCAAGGTTAGTGAAATTAAATGTTTATTAGATATTCAGACTTGTTTAAATGAAATGCATATTTGCTGAATGCTGATGGTAGATGAGAAAACATTACACTGTTTGCCTTTATTACTAGTAATAGAAAATCAAATGCTATAATACTTTTCATATGCTCTTAACTAATTTGTTTAAAAGCTCTTTGTAATAATTTATTAGAACTGTTAAACAGTGACCGTAAACCAATGAAGATAGACAATGGGAGCTCTGTGCACTCAGCGTTGTCAAAATAAAAGTCCTGCTTACTGACAAGTTAAAAGTTTCCACTTCTGACATATCGGCCAAACAGAAAAACAATTATTGTCCGATACTGATAATTAAAAAGTGCCAAATATCGGTCTATATATCAGCCTTGGCAACATATCGTTCGACCACTAGCTATGGGATCTTGGCTTGGAAGCAGCCAGTGTGTTGAAATGTTTATGAATTAGATTACTTATGTCCCCCTGTTTGCAGGTTTGATGATCTCATGGAGAACCTTCCTCTGCCAGAGTACACAAAGAGAGATGGCCGGCTCAACTTGGCCTCTCGTCTTCCAAACTTCTTCGTTCGGCCAGATCTGGGTCCTAAAATGTACAATGCTTATGGTAAGGGATCTACATGCAACATCCTCGCCACTGCTTATGAGGAATACACTGACAGCTCTTTAACCTCTGCCCTTTGCCGTGTCCCTCCCAGGTCTGATCTACACAGAAGACAGGAAGGTTGGCACCACTAACCTGCATCTGGATGTATCCGATGCAGTCAACGTAATGGTGTATGTGGGCATCCCAGAAGGAGACGGTGACCATGAAAACAGTAAGCATTAAGCTTTTGTTTATGTGTGTTAAGGGTTTTTTTGTGTATGTGTATTTTGATGCAGCAGTTTGATTTCAAAATACAACATTTCTTGTTGCTAATATAATTAAGCTATATATAATGTATGAACTTTTGGTCTTCATTTTTGCCCCTGTGCTGTATAAGGATGTGATTAATTTTGGGTGCAATTTGACTAATTTTGCAGTCTGTTTTTCTTTAGAAACAAACAAACAAAAACTTAATGTAAAAAGTAAAAAATGTTGTACGACATGAATTATTGTGTTTATATTGGTTTCAATGAAAATTTAAAAAAAAATCACACTGTCACAATCTTTCAAAATTCCCTAAAAACACTTCCTGTCCTTAAAGGGATAGTTCACCCAAATATTCTGTCATCATTTACTCACCCTCATGGTTTTCTGAATCCAGAAGTCATACAGATTTGGATCAACATGAGGGTGAGTAAATTATGACATTTTTGGGTGAACTATTCTTTTAAGTGTGAACTAATTAGTTAAGGTTTGAATGATACAGATTCCACCCATAGATGAAATCTTTGGATCGGAAACAGGCATTAAAATAGAACAAAATACAGTGCCTTGCAAAAGTATTCAGACCCCTAGCTTTGTGTTACAAAGTTAAATAATTAATAATAATTGCAAGCCTCCCTCAAGAGGTAGTTTCTTAGAGGCCAACATGGCACCCTAGGGCTGCACGATTAATCGAATGCGATTGTCATGCGCATTTTGTTAGTAAAGCCGGTTCTGTAATCAGCAGTAAATCATCATCACGTGCTTTCAGATGGAGCAGCATTTACTACACAGAGCCGTAAATGCTACTCCATCTGAAAGCACGTGATGTGAAAATACCACATTTAATAACATATTTTTACTCCAAACTCACTTCATAACGTCAGTCGAGTGTTTGAAATAAATCCTTCTGTGAGATGATGTGGCTTCTTACACAGAATAAGGCACGCAACATATTTCATAGTATTTAAGCAGTGATAAAGGCATTGCATTATAAATATACTTTATTTTAATGAAAATTATAATAATAATAACTCCGATAAACCATATATTGTCATAATCGTCTGTTTATTAGTCACGTTGAATCAATAAAAGCGGTTAAATCTTCTGTTTATCCAGCTACCGCTATAGGCATTTCCCGGGTTTCTTCTGCGAGGCGTATTTGGAGTTTCAGCGCGAGAGCACCCTCTGGCCTTTGGATGGAGATTTACTGCTGATCACAGAACCGCGCTTCACTGAAAGATACGCATGACAATCGCGATTTCGATTCCATTTCGATTTATCGTGCAGCCCTATGGCACCCTATAGTTAAGGCCTTTAGGACGGCCTGTGCTCTTGGGGTCTTACTACTTTTGATTGTGGCACCATTTCTCATTTACAGAAGCAGACCGCGCTGGATTCAAAGGTCTGTGCATTTTTTTCATTTGTCTCACCTCAGGCATGCCCTCCCACTTTTCTCGCTCTCTCTTGTTCTTCACTCCCATTGCTTTAACCCATCTCTTGCTACTCTTTACATTAAATTATGTATTATTTATGTTGATTATAAAACACCAATTTGTGCACCAATTTGTAAACTCCATTCAGAGTTTGGTGTCCCAGGGCACCAAAACATAGTGACCATGGTGGTTTTTTTTTTGTTACATCTCGCTGTGTTGATGCCCCTTCAGAACTTTTGACGATTGAGTTAGTGTTATTTTTTTTTTTAAAGGGGTCATATAATAAATCACAATTTCTTTGGTTCTTTTCAAATAGAAGTTTGATGCATAATGAATTGTAACTTTCAAAAATCTAAACATCCTGCTCAGTTCAAGAAGGCAAGAAATAGTTGACACAAGAATGAAAATTCATTGAACTCACCCTCATGTTGTTCCAAACCCAAATTCTTCTTGTTTATCTGTGGAACACAAAGGAGAAGTTTTGAAGAATCTTCATGCTGCTCTACAGCAGTTGGCTCTAGTCGGACGCCGTCAGCTCTTTTCAGCCGATTCTGCATGTTGGATTGTCGACAGAGCTTGTCAGCGAGAAAGAGAACTCTGAATGGCTATTCAGCTTAGCGAATGAGCGTACAAGAAAAAAAAACAGAACTGACGAAAGCAAACCAATGACGGAGTAAAGAGGGAACGCACAGACACTTGTTGTCATTCTATCCATTTCTTTCTTTCTTTATCCACAAGAAGGGCTGACAATGCCAGTGCCATTTATAACTTGATTGAACAAAGCTACACGAATCCGCCAGTAATGAGCGCGGCTGGTGTAAACAATGTTAAAAGCAAGTGCTGATTGCTTTATATGTCCACAGTTCTAGCTCTGACGGTTTCCCTGTTTGAATGCCAAATACAGACTACTGCCACCTGCTGGAGTTATGTTCTCTCACGCAAGTGCAGAGCTTTTACGCTAGTTGGTCATTGGTAGTAGTCTGTCCGGTGTGTTCTAGTGCAACTTTTTTGGCAGGCGACGCAAGGCAACGCCACAGTCGGCTTTCCTCAGCGCTAGTTCTTTGGCGTCGGTTTGGTGTGTCTCCACCCAAAGGCCAAACACACCAAACTAACAACTAGCTCTGAGGAAAGCCGAATGTGGTGTCGCTTGCATCAGGGCTAAAAAGTTGAGCCTGAACACATTGCAAAGACTACAGCCAACAACCAACTAGCATGCACGTTCTTCGCTTGCTTGAGAAGCAAAAGCTCTCCATGCCAGCAGGTGTTAGTAGTCTGTATTCGTCATTCAAAAGAGGAAACTGGAAGAGCTAGTACTGTGCATATACACACTGTAAACAAAGCACACCAATTTTCTATTACATTTTTACATCAGACTTTCACACCAGATAGAATCAATGAAAATCATCACCGATGAGATGAGGATTAAAAATAAATAGTGTCTTCTCTTTATGCCTTTTTGACCTTGATCTTGTGCACTGGTTCACTAAGCTGAATGAGGATTTCTCTCACCGATGGGCTCCGCCAACGATTTAACCTGCTCAATTGGTCAAAAAGCTGCGGACAGAGGCAGCTAAAATGCTAAAGGTGCAGAACACACTGCAGAAACTGGGCTGATTGATATTCAACGATGGCCCAACATTGGCAGATGACCAGCCATTATGAGCTATTTTCCAAGTCTTCTGAAGCTGTATGAAAGCCTTTGTTTTAGGAACAGGCCCAGACCCCCCTCCAGTGAGCTGTTTCTTGAGAACCACTGCATCTGGATTGAACCGATCACTCTGTTGTGTGTGAACAATCACTAGTTGTTTTCAGTTAACTGGTTAATCTGGTTCATAACTTAAAGGTATAGTTCACCCAAAAATGAAAATTTGATGTTTATCTGCTTACCCCCAGGGCATCCCAGATGTAGGTGACTTTATCTCTTCAGTAGAACACATATGATGATTTTTAACTTTAACCGTTGTAGTCTATCAGTCGTATAATGCATGGCAATGGTAACAAAATCTATGAGAGTAAAAAAAACATGCACAGACAAATCCAAATTAAACCCTGCGGCTCGTGACGACACATTGATGTCCTAAGACATGAAACGATCGGTTTGTGCCAGAAACCGAACAGTATTTATATCATTTTTTACCTCTAATACACCACTATGTCCAACTGTTTTTGAGCGCGCGCAGGCATCCGGTGCGTCTTGGATGCCCTGGGGGTAAGCAGATAAACATCAAATTTTCATTTTTGGGTGAACTATCCCTTTAATCACGATCAGACAGATTAGTTGAACATTTGGAGTTTAGCCTTAGGTTAACATTATGACCCCTTTAAATAGTTCTTATCCGCTATAAGAAAGCTGTTTTTTATTTCCATGCTCTTCAGTGGTTGGTGAAGGACCTTCATATCCTGTCATTCCATCTTTTAAAATTGGAATTTGTTGCCTTTTTATTTCCAGGAATCTGTGCGGACAATTTTTTTCCCATACAAAAAAGTGTTGGGATACTGGAGCAGTTTATTGTGATTAGTATATTTTTGATGTATATTCTTTATACAACTCCTGAGCAGACCCTGCAGGATTGATCCTTGCCTTCCCCCATTCAGCCTCTTTGCTCCGTTTGCTTGCTTGAATAGTAGGGCTGTCAGTAGATTAAAATATTTTATTGCAATTAATCTTAAATTTCTTGTAGTTCAGTTTTCTCTTAAGACAAAGAGTCAAAACATTGTGAAATATTTGTGTAATCTGCCAAAATGAATACAATTTTTCCACATTGTGTAGACTTAATATTGTGTAACCTTCTCTGTTGCTCGATTATGTTTAAGTGTGTTTTGCACGTGAGTGAGTAACTAAATGTCCTATGAATGATTATTTCTTGCAGTGCAACTCATAAAATATCCTATCTGACTGATATCACTGAGATTGGTCACATCTGTGTCTGTGACAGTCCTAAACAGCAAGAATAGAGTCAGAGGACTGGCAGAACTTGTTTAAAAATCATAAATGCTTTCTGCCTGTCAATCATGTTGTGTGTTTGGGTTTGCTGACATCTTCAGTGGGCAGAGAGAGGGAGCATGTGGTTGGAAATACCAGAATGAAACTACTATACTGTCAGATAAATTGATAGCGTTAACAGCATTGCATAAATAACGGTGTTAAACAAGTTGAATGAACATTCATTTTGACAGCCCTATTGCTTAGTAATTATAATCAGTTATTAAATATCTACTTTGTTTTGATGGTCATAGTGTAGTTGCCCAACTAATGCTTAGAGGCCCTGTGAAGAAACAAATGAGGCTCTAACAGTCAATATCAATAGTTCAGCTCTAGTTCACTGTTTTATGGAAATGATAAAGACTTTTACACAAGTTCTGATTGTGGGTATGTTTACTGACTGACCTGTTATTACTGCAGAGGTGATGCAGACCATTGAAGAGGGAGATGTGGATGACGTGACTAAGAGAAGAGTCTATGAGGCAAAGGAGAAACCTGGAGCTCTCTGGCACATCTACGCCGCCAAAGACGCGGAGAAGATCCGTGAGCTCCTGCGAAAGGTGAAAGGATGACTTTGACTGTTATTGCTTTTAAAGTAAGAGTTTATCCAAAAATAAAGACACTCATGTGGTTGCAAACCCATATATATATATGACTAAATGATGACAACATTTTAGATTTCAGATTTGGGCAGTTCTCTGCTTTTCTCTGCTCTTACGGTGTGCATATCTGAAGTTCATTTCACTTATTTATTGCAGGTTGGAGAGGAACAAGGTCAGGAGAACCCACCAGACCATGATCCAATCCACGACCAGAGCTGGTACCTGGATCAGACGCTGCGTCGCAGGCTGTACGAGGAGTACGGAGTCCAGGGCTGGTCCATTGTGCAGTTTTTGGGAGATGCTGTGTTCATCCCAGCTGGAGCGCCACATCAGGTTAGTTATTGAGAGGATGTCCACTATCAGAGTTCAGTTCAAAATCATGTACTTGACACTAGGGGTGTGCAATATTGACACACACACACAAAAAAAACTAAACTAAATATTTTGTCGATAACAGTAATTGGACGATATTTAGCTGAGTGTGTTTTCGCGCTGGTAACTTGACTGCTTTAGGCCTGTCGTGGACAGCTGACCAAAGATTTTGATATTCCTTGTATCGGTCAGTTCACAGCAGTGACAGAAATTAACCTTTTCATTAAGGACTGATATTTGCCACCTTAAATTGATTTCCAGGGGCATTTTTACTTTTCTAATTTAACTTTTGTTAAATTCTTACTTAATAAATTCAATTAGAATAATAAAACACTTTAGGCTGTTACCAATCAAATGAAATAAGTATCAACAAAATCAATTTTTTGCACTTTAATGAAATGATACTTGAAATATGAAACTGAAACCGCCAGTTGGTAGCAGCAAGTTACTGTCTTAAAAAGTGAGTCATTGATTCGTTTATTCAACCAATTTGTTCAAATGCTGATTCACTCAGGAACTTAACAAGTGACTTTATGCATGGATCACTGAATCATTGATTCTTTCAGAAACACTGATTCAAGCACCATTGTGCGTTGATTGGAGACGCACAGCAGTTCTTTTGTGGCTTTCTTTGGAACTGTTTTCATTGGCGAAACAGACAATAATGACAATAACGTTTCAAATTTAATTCGCAATATTAACTTATATACTCCTATACATTGAATTTTGGGGTCATTTTAACTAGAGCTGCCCTCAACTAAAGATTTTTATGGTCGACTAGTAGTCGTTCATTTTAAGCATTAGTCGACTATTAGTCGCACGTTTATTAATAAACCATGTAAATCATAATAATGAGCCTTTAATTGCATAAAGCGCTCAAGCGCACGCAAAAAAAAAAGAAGCTTGCCACAGCGTACCGGCAGAAATAATAATTATGAATGTGTCTGGGAAAAACAGCAAAGAGACTGCATTAACGTTTTAAAAATGTATTGATAAACTAGCCTAGTGCTTTCTTTGTTTTCGGCCTAAGAGATGAAGTCGGCAACACAGACTCGTCATCTCCACAGTGATGCGCCTGTATGCATGTTTCATACGAATTACATAATTTGAGAATATTTGCTTTCTATTTGAATTGGTTCATTTAAAAGTAGAGATTTCACTCTTTATAGATATATTTGTTTATGCCTGTAAAGCAAAGATAGCCTATACATGGAGTTTCGCACTCAAGTTCACAGAGACCAAGACGGCCGAAAGCGCATCCTGTTTGCTTTAATTATTTTACAAAAGCGCATCGTTTCGTTGTTATTCTGTGCACACAAATAAAAGTAGAGTCTTTACAGATTCGAAAGATGTATTACTCCTATCTGTATGAGCAAAAATGAGGGAGTATTTTAAGCAAGTGAGCGCACTAGCGCCTCCATCTGTCCTTCAGTGAGCGCTATTGTTCAGCTTCCACACTCCGCACAGACGCTTCAATAGCGCACATTAGATTGAGCGACCATGTAAAGTTGCTACTACATACATCTTTCAGATGAATAGCCATATTTGAGGTCGATGAATGATAGGCGAGCATTTGGATGTCCTGCCCGATGTACTGTATTACCACAAAGACCAGCCGTTAACGATCTGTCCGTCACGGACTGTGTGACCTCACCACTTCCTGTGGATTTTCTTTTTCTGCGACTAAGTGACTAATAAAATTTTGGTCGACCAAGCTTCTTCTTGTCGACTAACGGTTCGTCGACTGTTAGGGGGCAGCCCTAATTTTAACTGAATTCTACTAGACTACATCACGCCGTGAAAGTGTAAACTCATGTTTTTATTAGTTTTTTGCAAAGTGAGTGGCACATCATTGCAACAACAATATTATCCTAGACGATACATTCCCCCTTCTTGACACATAAAAACTAATTTGCTCATCTTGGTTTTCCCAGGTGCACAACCTGTACAGCTGTATCAAGGTCGCAGAGGACTTTGTTTCTCCCGAACATGTGAAGCACTGTTTTAGACTGACGCAGGAGTTCCGCCACCTTTCCACCACTCACACTAACCACGAGGACAAGCTACAGGTATTTCTAGATGTCGTTCTGCTCAAACCTGATATGACTCTCTTCTGTGGAGCACAAAAGCAGTATTTCCAAATTTTCTGGTAAGCTAAATGCTTGCCAAACACTTTTGATTCTGATTTAATGTTATTTCTGTTGTTTAAAGGTGAAGAACATCATCTACCATGCCGTGAAGGATGCTGTGGGAACATTAAAAGCCCATGAGCCTAAACTAGGCCGCTCTTAGTTGTTGAACTGGTGGTGGAGAAGTCACCGAGAGATTGGGTCTCGGGGTGGGTGAGATTTGGGTTTGGATGAGGCCAGTGTGCTTGCAAAACTAGCTGTTTATAATGGAACGTCTCAGCGTTTTGGTAGGATGAAGATGCCGCTTCATCAGTGTTACAAGAGCATTGTTTAGTTTTACAATCCTTTTCTCTGTATTTAAAAAGTCTGTTCTTTTCTCAGCGTTTAAAATGTGTTGGACTGTTCAGAGAGCTGGTGATATAAGCTGACATGAATCTTTTAAGGCCTACAACAAGGTTTCTTTATGACTTCTGTGAAAAACATGAGCACTGGGTTTCCTTCTTAGAGAGCATTAATTTTGTGCTCTTCAATGAAGAAGAGCTTTTAGTTCAGATGGGGGTCAACAGTAATTAAAATGATTAAAAGATTCCCGCCAACTTTTTCAGGAGAGGTGGATAAGAGCATGGAAGGGAACTAGACCAAAGTTTTTTATTTTTAGTTTTAAGTTCCTGTTTTTGTTTTTTTGTCTTTTTGATGAAAACATGTTCTTTGCTTTTTTTGTAATATGCCATTTAGGTAATATTTCACTGACAGCAAGTGTTAGACTGGCTTTGAGGAACGTCATTCAAGAATCAACAATTCCAGTTCTGCAGAACTACTGGTCGTTAATATGTACCAATATATATATTGATCTTAGCAGTGCGAATGATTTTTTTTTCTTCTCCCAAAATAAAGGTTTTCAAGAAATGATTTGGCCCTGTTGTTTGGAAATTACACAATGAATTTCTTAGCTATCTATTTGTTTAATGCTTACTATTTTATTTTATAAGACATTTTGTGGTTCATGGATGACATTGCAATAAACTAAAGCTTTTGAAATAGTGTCTGTTTACTTAGATTTTTCATGATTCAAATGGGGAACTTTGGCTATAATCAGTGTTTATCAAATAACTTTTGACTAGTGAAAAACACACACATACACAAGTGTGTGCCTTACAAGCTGGACAAGTGTAGTCCATTACAACCCATAGGGGATATATTGAATTTAATTATTGAATGGCAAAATTGTTCTTTTTTTTTCTGTCAGGATGTTTTTTTTGTTGTTGTTTTTTTGGTGATGTATTTTCGATGTTGAGTCGGTTAACCATCAACATTAAAGACCATTCACAGCGTTGTTTTCATTTATGAAAATTTAAATATAGCAGTTACCCCTAAATAGGTCCACCGCTTGAACAACTGTTATAAATATCTTGTGAAATAATAAAATATATAATAAAACAATGACACGTCACCATTACAAAAAAAAAAAAAAACTTACAATAGTAGTAATAGTTTACACCAAAATACCATAGTTAATATAAATTAATTTTATGATAAAACTGACATGAACTGTAAACTGACATTAGCTGTTAGCCTGTCATTAAAAAGTAATCAACATCAAAGAAAGTTTAACACTGCATGAGACCCCATATTTACTAATCGCACTGTTATGCAATTTATTTTTTCTGCCCTAAAAGTGTCTGGGCGTCAGAGACCGTAAGTCATAGGGATCTCAAACTTGGAGGGATGCTTCCAAATCAGCCCCGGCCCCCACACATGCATCAGACACAGTGACAATCCTAGACTTCTGGGGGCCCTACGCAAAACTTAATAGTTTAAATGCTTCACAAGAAATTCTAGTTTTTACTATTTTCTTTGTCTTTCTTTACTCTCTTGAACCCCTTTAAATCCTGTGATTGTTTGTTTCCTTGGAGGGGACCCATAATTCTTTCTTGCATACCCCCCTTCAAAGTGCTCATGGTGCCCCTGTGGGCTTCAAATTGTAAAAGAAGTGTCACGTAGTTTAGCTCTTTACATTACATACCTGGTGTGTTTGTTATTCAAATTAACATTCAAAGTGATACATATAAACTGGTAAAACAAGAGGCTTAGAGCTGAAGGAATGGTAAATATTTCCAGATGATCACATTTTCCTATTAAAACATTTTTGCGTATTTTCACAATCACAAAGTCTTTTTAATGTGGCTCACAGGTGTAATATCTTTATGGAGGAATCACAGCAGTGACAGGAAACTCTGAGCCGGTGAGAGGATCCTCTTGGACCAGAGCGTCTTTAGCAGGAACCTCTGGGACCAGGGAGGTTTAGAGAGGAGCTCTGGGACTGAATTAGTCTTGGACAGCAGCTCTGGCTGAGGCTACGACTGCAAACACTGGGGCGGCCTTGACTGGAACTTCTTTGGTGTTCGTTCCCATCATGAGATGAACCTTTGTGGTGGACATGAGGGGTGTCAGTGTGACCCAGAACCAGTGGTGGA